GCTATCGAGGGGTGGGTTCAAAAGTGAAAAGATTGAATTTGAATTCAAAAAAACTATTTTACTCAAAAGTTTATTATTTTATTCCCATAATAACGGTCATTTTAAATATTAAGTAATAAAATTTGACATAAATCCATGACTCCCAGTACATTTACATGACTTACTAAACATGAAATTAGATAGATTTTTTTTTTAAAAAAAAAATCCATGTACAAATCATTTGGACTAAGATTTGGAAAGATTTCATATATTCAATTCAAACCCCTCAAAAAATAAACATCCAAACATTCCATTAGAGTTAAATGGCATGGTTAAGACAATAGTATTTGTACTTATACTTATTTTATCTAACGGCCAAAAAAAAAATAATTATTTTTGTAAAGCGAAAATTGAATTATTTATTAAACCTGTGAAAGTCGGATATGATCCACATCCACAGCCTAATTGGATGTCAATGGATTCAAATTTTCATCTTGAATCAGGATGGCCTCATTGGCCTTGAGGATGACCCGATGGACCTTCTATAGGTTTTGTAGTCGGGCTTTCCTGTGACCCATAAATAAATAAATAAAAAGAAAAATATTTCAGGTTGTTAAATTATTCAAATGATGGGACTCCTACATAGGAAAGTGAACGAGTTTCAAACTAGCCGTTAACAATTCCCCAATGCTTTATTCTCGGTCTCAGTTCTCTCAAGAACGTCACTACACAGTTCTCTCTCTCTCTCTGCGAACAAACGGAGGGTAAAATGTTCACAGAAGGCTTGGATGACAGCGCTGGATCAAGCAGGTACTAAGGCCTAAACAACTTACCCATTCCCCAGGATTGTTATATATTTGTTCCTGATATTGCACTTTGAGGTACAAAAATATAGTGTTCTTTCGATGATCTTGCACACACGCACACACACATATATGTATTCTGTTTTCTTTAGAATAGTCCAATCTTGAATTCAATTTACAATCTTTACAAGCAGAACTCGGATCAGGAACAACACCAAAGTAGATCACCTTTATCAGGAAGTTGGATTGTGAATTCCATTATCCAAATCTCCTATTTTGTACAATGCTACGATGAAGAAATATTTGTATGAAATCGAGCATGAATTTAAATGGAAGTAGAGGAGATGGACCGAAAGGAGATATGGGTCCACTTTGAATCGAGGGCTGTATCTTTATTGTTTGTTTATAGGGCTTGATGTTGATGGTGAATGTAAGAACGAATGTCACATGGTTTCTAGAACATAAAGTGATCCAGTTTTGTGTTTGTATGTATCTTTGTTGTTTGTTTATAGGGCTTGATGTTGATGGTGAATGCAGGTACCGCAATTGGCATGTTCAGTGATGCTGCAGATTTGGGAACTCAGAGCGCCCCTCCCATAATGGATATTAGAAGAGGACATATCTCTGAAGCTGAAAGTGAGCCACTAAGAGCTGGCAGACCCTGCTGGGCGCAGGTTCCAGATTCGAAAAGTCTGAGTCATGGATTCTTATGGAGGTGAGGAAGTCTTTTCTGATGGGGGAACACCATCTCCAAAACCTAGAAGAAGTCTTTTCTGATTGGAGAGCTTTCTCTTTTCTGTTTAATAAATGTGCCTTTTTTTTTTTGCGGACCTTTTAAATTTTTGAAAAATTGCTGACAAGTGTGTCTTGTACAGGAAAATAGAAACACAATTGGGGACATGGAAGCAGGCCATCATGAGCAAACAAGCTCACTGGATCCGTCCCCCTATTATGGCACCAGGTGTTGTTGATGTTAAACTTATTTCACGTAACTCCTTTTGTTGTTCAGTACTTCTTCAGTTTAGCCACAGTTAGTGCTCATCTACTGACCATGGCCAACTTTATAACAGCTAATGGAACTGTTGTTTCTCTTATACATCAACCCATACCGTAAATAGATACGACTGCCAAAGATTTAGAGGATACAGACTTAAACTGGCCTGAATAGGGATAAGGATTTATGCAGTATATTGCCCAAGTAGCCGTGGGTGAGGGAGTTGTGTTAATTTCTTATGCATCAATTATTCTCTGTAGTTATTAGGCTTGTAGAGTCAATTCCATGGTCTTTTTCTTTGGGGCTCAATTGTTTCCCTCATTGAATGGTCAATTTAAATCCAAAGTCCATTCCCATGTTGTTATGCAAAGCACTATCTATATATAGATACATGTTTATAATTAAACATGTATTCATATCCCATTTATAAATCTGAACTTTTTCCTGGCAATGGTCAAAATGCCTAGCACACTCTGTATTTTATGACGCATGCATTGGCCTATGCCTGAATGCATGGGAAAGAAATTGCACAGAGGCCCCCGAGTTTCTACGTGATGAATGCCTGCTTCTCCTGAATGCACGGGTATGCACTTAAATTTTTTAGCTATTTTTCAGCTCTAGTTCTCCTTCTTAAGTCCAAATGGGTTTCTCTTATGTTTCTTTTGCTTTATAGAATACACATATTTTTTTTGCAACCTCGAGGCAGACAACCAATTGAAAGTGCTACTAAGAGTTCTGAACAAGCATGCCCCTTGAAAGTGAAGAAGGTAATTGGAAAGATTCGGGTGGAAGGTATGGTCTAAATAAACTGCATTGGCAAATCGAACGATGGACTTGGAATACCGTTTGATTCAAAGAGGCTATCAGTCAATTTTCAATGAATTCCCTTTACTAAATTATAAGCATCTGATTTCTTCATAATTAGGTTTATCAGTTTTTTCCAGTTGGTTCATTTTTAAACATCTGAAAGAAATATAATGATACCATAAGGTATAGATTATAGTTAAACTGCTTTTTCAATCAAGTTTTTCCTTATGCTTCCGTTTTAACAATATTGACCAACTTTTTGTTCAATCAGGTTTTCATCAGCAATTTAATGAATTTTAGTTGTTTTATCTGTTTGTATGGTAGATTTTAATTCATTCATTTGGAATTACTTCTATGGACATTTGATAATTATATTGTCCTAATTTTTTCCTAAATTTGCATTACACAATCAAATTTATTCCTCGTGTGTATGTAAGGTAAAACTACATGGATGAATGGCTGTGGAGATACTTTCCACTTCAAATAAATTTTCTGCCACTTTGCAATGAAGTTTATGTATCTAAACCGAAAGCATCAAATTGTTTCTTAATTTTTCATTTCTTCTGAACTGTTCTATTTCATAAATATTGTTAGAACTTCATGATACTAATTGTGAGTTCAGTTTTATTGGGTAAAAATGAAGATTTTTGAAGATAAGGAGTTTTTCCCTGTAGATACAAGGGGGGAATTGGTAGTTCTAACATATAACGCATTCTTGAAGAGAACTTCTCAAATCTCAACAGAAGACCATACTACTTGGATGTGTGATTGGAAATGACATGAGATAATTTCTTGAGTATGGCCACTGAGAAAGGTCCGGGTAATACCAAGGCGGAAACTTAAGAACACATATTCACTGCATGGGGCGAAATATATGCAAGTTGGAGCAGAGTATGTCCGACATGTTCAATCACTTGTGAAAAAGCGGCATCAATTCTCTTAGACTCGCTTCATTTTCGTTGACATCTGAAGGTTTTTGCTTCTTGACCTAAAAATTTGGAATCTTTTTTTGCTGACCATAATAGTTCACCCCCCAACAGGCTTTGGACCTGGTATATTAACCATTAGATTACAATTCTTCAGTGTGGGTGGCTGATAGCATAACCTTGGATCCTGGATTGACTCTCGATTGACCTCAAGGCAGTACGCATCCATTGGATTCCATCCAACCAGAAATTCCAGTATGCCCCAAGTTGTTGGATAGCTATCTGAATATCTCGTAGTGATCATTCGGAAGTATAAATTACTTAGAATCATTCAAATGGTCGTAGGTGTAATGCAAGACTCCAGGAGGTAAAGGTAAGTCAAAATTAACTTTGAATGAGATAGTAAAAAGGGATATGATAGCTTATGTTTTAGCAGAAAAATGGCCCTCGATAGAGTACAATAGAAAAACAAGATTCATGTAGCCGAAGACTTTCTTTTGTTTTATTATACTGGTTTTGGATACTCACACCGAACCATTTTCTGATACTTGCAATTGGTGATTTTCATGTCTTGGATGTTTTTATTTGGGTATTTGACTTAAGATGGTTTAACTATCCTGATAAAAGGTCGTTATGTTGGCATTCTTATCTGTAGTCCAAAATCAGATCGTGAGATTTTTTTTTCTGAAAGGTAGACATATCTTAGGGTTAACATTTTTTCAGTTAACATTAAGAAAACCTTTGTCTGTAATTTCTGCTTTCCAGAAAACCAAGCAGGTACTTTTTTACTTGAAGTTCAAGATACAAGTAAAACGGTCCATGGTTGACCTATAATTCCAATCTCATCCACAACAGATAATGGATCTTCAATCACTGTGTTCTTTTCGTACTAGAAATGGGTTTCCTAAAAAGATATTTTCCAACCTGTGCAGAATGATAGAACTCGGTGGTGGCCTATTTTTCATGATGATCATGAATGCGTTGGGAAGGTTCAACTTTTAATTGGTCCATGTGATGCGACTAACCATATAAAGTTTTGCTTTTGCCAACTGAATAGTTATTTTCCTCCTTTCGCTGATTCTATTTTTTTTTTGGCTGAACTTAACTCAATTCAGCTATACTGTACTTCAACCACTGGATGGAATCTTTTCTTTTGCCGAATGTCAAACTTGAAAGGCTTCAACATAGGCTAAAGTGTACAAAAATTAGGGTGCTTCACTTTCATATAGATGCCAAAGATCTCTGTTTGTGACATAGAAACAATAGTTTAAGAAAGAAAGATTTGACCCAAAAAGACTTATTTAGGCCGATTCAAGAAATTGATTTTATGGATTTTTCTTCTAGTTTTTTGGCGTTTTGTCACAGGTTCCATATAATTTTTAGTTTATTATATTTATAAAATATTATTAGTAACGTAAAAAAAATTTAAAATTCATATTTTAGGAACTATTATACATAATCTATATATACAAGTAATTATTTTTTTATTTGACACAAAAAAAACATTTAGAAAGTCACTCTAAACAGACTTTTTTAACTTTTTACAACTTTTTAAAAAACACCATGAGGAATTTTTTGACTCTACACCTTTATGAAACTTTTCAAACCTCAAATTTTCACCGAAAAAAGCTAGCCCCAAACGGATTGACATGCCTACATAAAAGGTGTTTTAATGTAAAGGTTTCTCTGGCTTTTTGTCATCTTGAAGTTTAAAGTGCCTCCTCCATAGTTACTGATATTGATTACCATCGGCCTATTGATATGATTGCTTATCCTTGTGCCTTTTTGGCACAATTGTGAACTTTTTCAAGTTTCTTCTGTCCGCATCAAACTGAAACCTGTGTCCTTGACAAAACCTATAATGTATCTTCATGGACTACATATGGACAGTAGCAATGCTACATACATATCATAAAAATGTCTACATCCATGTGTGTTTGTCTAGGTGTGGATCGGATTGAGAGGTACAATTCCATATTCTTGATTAGCACAGCCTAAAATAATCCCTGCTTAGTTGTAGATTTTGTTCGTTTGATTATTCAAGATATGCATAGAACAACTGGGTGGTTACAAATGTCCTGATCTGCAAATACTAATTATTTTTCAAACGTGATAGAGTGGACCCTTTGTGGAGACTCTTGTTTATGACTTATTGCTGGAGGCTGGGCATGCGTTCAGACTCATATACTAAGCTGAGGTACTGAAAGTATAATTCTTTTCTGGTTAATTTAATACCCAATAGTGGAATTTTCCTCTTTATCTGTTATCTGCAAAGTTTTTTCTCATATTTTTATTTTTTTACAGTTATCTTTCATATATAATGAATGTTGCCAGTCCTACAAAAGATTTGCTTGGAGCTTGTGTATGAGTTGCTTGTGTTAGAGTATTCATATATTCATAATAAGGGTAGTTTAGGCATTCTCTTTATGTTGTGTTGCCCTACTATATAAGTGTTACTTTATGTATTTCTAAGTTAAGTGGTGTATTACAGACCTGCTCTTGGTTCAATACATTTCACTCTTTCTCTTCTCTATGATTAATTCTATCATGGTATCAGAGCCTAAAACCTAAGACATCAGCAGGAAAGAATTTTTTTTTACCTTCTTTATTCTGGACTGTCGGAGAATGACGTCAGCATCACCAGTGATGACGTCATGGTGATGACGTCATCCTTTTCTGATCGTGAAGATCACCATCAGGCTCGAAATTGCATGGGTTTTCTATTGGTATGATTTGTTTTCAACTTTGAGCACATCTCGTAGGTGTTTCTATTTTTTGAATGTTTTTTGCCCAAATTTTCGAATTTCTTCAATATGTTGAAACAAGGGTTTTTTGCTGCAATTTTTGGTTCAAATCTTCTCTAAGAGGCACAACTAAGCCTTCTGGGTCACTTCTTGAGAGACTCAAAGCTCTTGAATAATATTTCGGCTTGATTTTGGACAACTAAAGGCTTCGGTATGTCTGGTTGGCTTCGGCAGTGAGGTCTGGTGCA